CTTTAAATCTCTTCACCCAACACTTTCACTCGAAATGAAACAAGAGATTCCTCGAAACCCAACTTTTCTTTGCATAAATGAAACTGGACTTTTATTATGATAAAAATACATTGAATTGCACTGTTACACAAATAAAAAGGTAAATAAATAAATATTTATGCATCCTCATTCTCTTCACTTCCTTTCTGTGGTCGGCGATTGTCTCTTAAGCGGATATGGGTCTAGACCTCTCTCTTCTCAGCTATAAGGCGACTTCTCTGGAACTCGGCATCCCCAGTCTACTCAGCTCTAGCGGTACTTCCAGCACTGGAACCAGTCCCGAAACATTTCAGACTTTTTCTGACCCGGCCAGAGGCCTGGAAGTGGGTTCCGAACCCTTTTCCTCTGAGGCTAGTCGGGCTCCGGGGCCAATCAGCGTATCTCGGGCCCAGGACCAAACTGGAAAATTGTGCAGTAGCAAAGACGAGAGTGAGCTCCGGAGAAAATGGCAAAAACACCTCGAGCTGCCTACAGCCCTTGTCGACAAAGTAGCCGTTTCCAGCTGTCCCAACTTCTCATCGCCGCCGCCTACCTCCCAAGTGCTAGCGCAACCACGTACCTCGGCCGCTGGGCTGGTCGCATGGTCGACGGCGGCTGACCAGATGTCGTACATTCGCTCACGCTGGCACCATCTGCTGCTCACCACTCCGCCGGACCTCTTGTTGGCCGAACTGCTTCGGGCCGGTCAGGCGGCACGGGCGGGCCAGAGTCTGACGGCAGAAGTGCCTTCGCAAGGGTCATTCAGGTCTACAGGCCTGGCAACAGGCCAGCCAAGTCCTGGGGCCATGCCAACCGGCCGAAGCATCAGTACGTCTACAGGTCCTCAAAGCGCAAACCAGGCAGATCCTTACTCTAAACACAATGTTGCTGGAGATAGCGCAACAAGGATTAAAAGAGGAGCCGGAGTTAAGGAAAGAGGTGAGAACGAAACGGCTAGAGAGGACTGTTTGCTGCGACTAGAACGAGACAAAGCTACCACGCAAGAAGGCAAAAGCATGAGTCAGGATAAGGAAAGGCCTTCTGAGACGGCAGGAGGACCTGTTGGGGAGACGAGAAAATGGAGGAGATCGGAGTCTTGGAGAGGATTCAAGAGAGCCGAATCCATTGCCAGTCTTCCGGGCGAGAACAACGTGGAAGAACGCGAGCAGTCCAGGATGCATCGAGCCTGCATGTCTGAGTCCAGGTCGCCAAATGATGCCGGACTGTTTGTTGAATGTCCTGTCTCCCGCCCCGGCGCATGCTCATACAGCTTGGCTGATGTGCGAACCATCTGCTCTGAGTGTCATCTTTGCGCCAGCCTTGGCCTAGGATCTACTTCCACAATCAGCTCGGTCGCTAGCATGGCACGACCTTTGGTGCCGGCTGAAGAGGCTAAAGTGAGCCGAACTGAGCGAGAAACGTGTGCAGAAGGAGGAGGAAATACTGGGCCTGGGGTAGTTGCTAGGATAGAAGAGCAACCACTTGACCTAACCGTCAAAATGGAGGAGGCCATAGCAGTGCGAAAAATGGGTGAAGATCAGCCTCATAGATTTATTGATAGAATGGTAGAAGCCTTGAGGTGAGCCATCTATTTATTTCAACCTGTTACTAATATTGTTAAGGCCGATACCGCTATTGTACCAAGTATCCGCATTTGGTAAAAATATTTAACAAAACATTGGCCTTACTTTCAATATCAATAAATTTATTCGAAGGTATGCATTTCAAGATTGTGTGGCCTTTTGTGTGATCGCAGTCTGCTTTCGTTGTATAGAAGTTGTTTGACCTTGTTTTCGCAACTTGGTCATATTGTTAGGAAG